AGTTTAATTGCAGTATGAGACATGTACATTGTCGTCTATGGGGAGTTTAATTGCAGTACGAGATATGTACATTGTCGTCTATGGGGAGTTTAATTGCAGTACGAGATATGTACATTGTCGTCTATGGGGAGTTTAATTGCAGTATGAGATATGTACATTGTCGTCCACGGGGAGTTTAATTGCAGTGTGAGACATGTACATTGTCATCTATGTGAAGTTTAATTGTAGTACGAGATATGTACATTGTCGTCTACGGGGAGTTTAATTGCAGTATGAGATATGTACATTGTCGTCTACGGGGAGTTTAATTGCAGTGTGAGACATGTACATTGTTATCTATGTGGAGTTTAATTGCAGTACGAGATATGTACATTGTCGTCTACGGGGAGTTTAATTGCAGTGTGAGACATGTACATTGTCATCTATGTGGAGTTTAATTGTAGTACGAGATATGTACATTGTCGTCTACGGGGAGTTTACTTGCAGTGTGAGACATGTACATTGTTATCTATGTGGAGTTTAATTGTAGTACGAGATATGTACATTGTCGTCTACGGGGAGTTTAATTGCAGTGTGAGACATGTACATTGTTATCTATGTGGAGTTTAATTGTAGTACGAGATATGTACATTGTCGTCTACGGGGAGTTTAATTGCAGTATGAGATATGTACATTGTTATCTATGTGGAGTTTAATTGCAGTACGAGATATGTACATTGTCGTCTATGGGGAGTTTACTTGCAGTATGAGATATGTACATTGTTATCTATGTGGAGTTTAATTGTAGTACGAGACATGTACATTGTCGTCTACGGGGAGTTTACTTGCAGTATGAGATATGTACATTGTCGTCTACGGGGTGTTTAATTGCAGTGTGAGACATGTACATTGTTATCTATGTGGAGTTTAATTGCAGTACGAGATATGTACATTGTCATCTATGGGGAGTTTACTTGCAGTATGAGATATGTACATTGTTATCTATATGGAGTTTAATTGTAGTACGAGACATGTACATTGTCGTCTACGGGGAGTTTACTTGCAGTATGAGATATGTACATTGTCGTCTACGGGGAGTTTAATTGCAGTGTGAGACATGTACATTGTTATCTATGTGGAGTTTAATTGCAGTACGAGATATGTACATTGTCGTCTATGGGGAGTTTCACTGCAGTATGAGATATGTACATTGTTATCTATGTGGAGTTTAATTGTAGTACGAGACATGTACATTGTCGTCTACGGGGAGTTTACTTGCAGTATGAGATATGTACATTGTCGTCTACGGGGAGTTTAATTGCAGTATGAGATATGTACATTGTCGTCTATGGGGAGTTTAATTGCAGTACAAGATATGTACATTGTCGTCTATGGGGAGTTTAATTGCAGTATAAGACATGTACATTGTCGTCTATGGGAAGTTTAATTGCAGTATGAGATTTGTATATTGTCGTCTATGGCG